TAAGTTTACAACTCTAATTAAGGATGTACAACCTTAGTATAAATTAAATTAATTGAGGCTTAAAAAAACTGTGCATTAACTAGGTATAACAAGATATTCTAGGTATATATTAAATACATAAATACATAAACATAAGAATAACACAAACTGTCTATTGATGTTAAATGTTTATTTTCAAGTTGTTTAATAAATAACTTGAGAATAAACAAATTTAACAGCAAAAGGCAATTTGCTTTATTCTTTTTCTATAGTGTATTTGCATTGTGAAGAGCATATTTATATACAAGCACATATAGTACACTATATATTATATAATATATTCTGTTATATATAAATATAGACTTTTTAAATAAATTAATAAATAAATAAATAGTAAATTGTTAGCAATCTAAATTATAAAAAAGCAGAAACATCTCTGTGAAAATTTTTGCAAACAAAATATAATAAAGCTGTAATAGACAGAATCAAAAACTTAAAATGATTATGTTCACTAAAATTTGGAGAGAAATAAAGATTTAAATAAGTAATTCTAAAAATGCTTGTTTAAATATCTTTCAGGAACAAAACTTTTCAAATGCATTAGAAAACCCTAACTCAGAAACAACGATTATGACTATTTTACAGTTGAACATACAGACATTCCATGCTTAACATTTTCCCAACAGAATGTCATTGGTTTTTAATTCTCAAGCTTCAAAAGAACATACTTACCTCTTAATACAATGTTTTTCAATGATATTTAGATAATAAAAATTTATATTTAAATCCAAAAAATTCAATACATCTTTAACAAAACAATACAGTTAATCAGGTTAACTCAAATTGATCAGGGAAAAAAATGTGGACTTCAAGTTAAAAAGTTTCAAGGAATTCAAGTTAACAAGCTTGATTTAACATTTTATGCTAGCCAACTGGGGAAACAAAATGACTTCGAATAAATGTGACTTTGAGTTAACTAGGTCCACTGTATGTGCAAAAAGTCTAAAGTTACATTCCAAATAACTTGTCAAAACATTAGAATCATATTGCATTTCTCTGCAAATAAGATCATGTTCTAATATGTGCCAGCTTGTTTTGACATCAATACTTTACAAAATATTCATCAGTGTTGGTTTGTCCCATCTTTAAAAGCATACTCAGATGTGTGAAAATACAGGGTGGGCCAAAAGTCACTTTACCATTAAAAATTAAATAACTTTTTTGCTATTATTATTTTTTTTTTCTTTCATATTTTTAAAATACAGAATTCAGAAATAAATTATGGGTAAATTAATGACAGAACGTGTAAAACTTATTGAGTTTTACTTTGAACATCAGCGCTCCATTGTTCTTACTCAGAGAGTATACATTGTGATTTCCGTTCAGATTTCTTTTTATGGGGATATTTGAAACAGCAAGTGTTTATTAATAAGCCTTGAACTCTTGCTGAGATGAAGGACAATATTTATCAGGAAATTTGAATAATAAACAGAATCACTTTGCAAGCAGTTATGGACAGTGCCATAACTGATTAAAAGATCTTGCCATTGTGAAGAGGAAAACGAGTCATTTAAAAGATGTTATCTTTCAGATTTAAGCCAAAAAAATCTCCGAGTTATGTACATTATAATGTTAAAAAGAAACTTATAAAATAATTAAAAGTAAAAAAGTTATTTCATTTTTAAATGGTAAAGTGACTTTTGTCCCACCCTGTACAATGTGTAGACATTTCGACAAGTGTTTGAATGTTAAAAAATGAAATACATATCTCAAATATAGCTGGAGTTGGCATCTTAGCATCATATCATACCAATACCTTTTATAGAAGAAAGTCTAAACATCTTTCTTGATTTCACTAATAGTATTCAATCAATTCCCCAATTTACAAAAGTGTCAAAGACATTGTTAAAAATGTGTTACTATTTGTTCCTTGTTGCTTTTCATTGCAAAATTTTGTCTGCATTTTTTTAAAACAAAGCTCTTTATTGCCATATACTATTTATCATGTCATATTGAAAATGTAATGTTTACTGTATGGGATGCAGATTATACATGTTATTGAATACAAAACAAAATAAGTTTTTTAACAACTGTAACTGTTTAGTGTAATCAGAGAAAGAGAAGAGAGAGAAGAGGGAGAGAAAATTTTACATCATAAAATGATAGTTTGTAACTTATATTATATAAGTTATAAGTGTCGTATTGTATGCTTTGGAAATTAGGCGTTTTCGGGTTCATGCTGTAATGCAGGAGTCGGCAACCTTTGCATTGCTAAGGGTGCAATAAAAATTTTAAAAATCACCAAGGGTGCATAGTTTAATTTTTGAAAAAAATCAAAATGTTGTAATAAATAAACAAAATAATTATGTTTTGAAATATGTATATTTATAAAAAATAAAAATTATAAATGTATGTAATAACTAAAAAATGAAAATTAAATGTACAAACATAAAATCAAATTAAATAAAATTACAAGTGCTGTAAATATATTTGTGCTTGCATGACTACAATTCTAGAGGGCATATCTGAAATGCACCAAGAGTACCACGGCATCCTTGCTAATGCATTACTCCAGTAGTTGCCAACCCCTGCTATAATGCATTATAGTTTTTCCATTTAAAATACAGTAGAACCTCGAAAACTCAGCCTAATGTGGACCGAAGGGTGGCCGAGTTTGTGAAAATGCCGAGTTATCGGGAATGGGGTTAAAAAAAATAAGTACGAGTGTTTCCTCAGAAAATACTGTACTGTACTTGTATGTATTGTTTACTTGAGAATATAACAGAGAATAAACTGCCCAAATACCCTTAAACAAAGGAAAAGTACGTCCTTTATGAAGGCATAGAGCCTTTACTACATGAAAATGAAAATTAATGAATACACTGTGTACAGTAATTTACCTGATAAGACAGACCTCAGAAAAATACTTTATGAGAGCTTTTATACTTTTGTAAAGCTGTCTATAATGAAAATTAATTAACTAAGGATTTTTTTGCCCTGCCAGGGTGTGGCCGAGTTATGCGGAGTGCCGGGTTATCGAGAGCCGAGTTTTCGAGGTTCTACTGTAATAAGAATAAGACTCCTAGTTAATTTTTTCCCATAGAAAGTCTGATTTTCAGGAATAGAACATTGTTGTTAAGTGGGAAAGCATCTATATTACTAATATAAAAGCCATCGCCTGTATGTGTGAATTCCATATAACTCCTGCAAGTTTTGTCCAATCCAGATGAATTTTGGTTATATTCATTTTATGTTCAAACGGAAATTACAGGCTACTTATTTTGCATAAATATTAGTTATGGAATAAGCATTTTATTGATTTCAGATCAGTGATCACACTTATGTTGTAGTGATGTCAGTGACTTCATTTAGTTCATGCTTGACAAGGGAATTCCCTTAAGCTGCATTTTTAAATACTTTGGCAAATGGCATATTTTAAACTTACTTCATTAAATTTAAAATTTAAACTTTAAAAAAAGATAGCCTCACTGTGTCACTTCCATAACAAATTTTTAAAAAATCTTTCCATAGTGACCATGTGATGTTCTATTATCCAATCAGAAGTAATGATCTAACAAGCCTGTTATTTAGAAAGTGTTATTGCTCATCTAACTAATGTACAGTTAACCCCCGTATAACACGAAAGTTACATTCCAAAAATTGCCATGTTATGCGAATCCATGTTATACGAAACAAAGAACTAGTATGAAAAGGGGGATTAGGTTCCAAAAATTAAAAAGCATGTTGTTAAATCCTTATTTAAATTGGATTTATTATTCATTTTTTTCATAGGTAAAATAAGTATTTAAGTAAATATTTTATCAGAGGATTATTCATTTTATATGATGATCTCAGCATGAGCATCATCAACTGGTAACAGTTTATGGCTGTGTTTGTTAATAGCAGTCGCTCTGCAATGGGAGTGCGCTGCTGTTTGTAGGCATTTAGGAACGATGGTGAAAGAAAGATGGCGGCGTCTGCACTATCGATAGTATAGTGTGGAGGAATCTATAATTCTAAAATGAGCTTTTAGAGGCAAAAGAAGGGTCCCAAATTGTAAAATTTAACCATTAAATGGATTATTTGTTGAAAGAGCATTCAAAGTAACCATGAAAACAATTAGAATGCTCACACGGAGTTACACAGAGGTATAAAAGAATGCCCCCTTTATTACATTTCATGTTTTACCCAATTCCCAAACTGTGTTAGAATGAATCCATGCTATAGAGTGCCGTGCTATACGGGGGTTACCTGTACATACAATTCACGTTTGTTTTATCAATGTGGAATTAAGAAATGGCTTTGTCAAAGGCTGCAGAAACAGCATCACAATAGTAATCATCAAAACAATATTAAGATGTCTATTTCCAAAGGAAGACAAGGAAATCTTTTAAAAGACAACAGAGTGTTTACTCAGAATGTACTGTATAAAGTAATTTTATAAAGAAAGATTTTAATAGAAGGGCATAAATCTGTGTGTGTGTGTGTGTGTAAGTGAATTCTGTATAACTCTTACTATTACAAATTTATGACTGCCTATGCATTTGCTGAAAGAAAATTTTTAATTAATAGTTTTCAGCCTACTCCTATAGGCCATCATCAGGTTTCTTAAAACTGTTTTTAGAAACTGTTCCACAAATGAAGCATTCCATTTAAATTTTACTCACACTATTTTTGTCCATTCCAGGTAAAATTTTGTTTCATTGCTCTTTATATTACAACAGATAGTATAAGCAACTTAATTTATAGAAATATTAACTACTCTTTTTGAATTTCTTGAAATCTCTACTCTTCTCAAATCTTGACAGGAAAATTTCTCAAGATTTCTCATGGCAAGTTTTCCATCACATTCCTTTACCCAACTCAACTAATAAAGGAATTTGATGGAAAACTTGCCATGTGTCTTTGGAATAAAACACAATACTAGTGTTAACTATGCCACAATAAATTTTTAATCTAATGAATTCAACCTATAGTATTTTACAATAAAATAATGCAGATTATATAAAATAATTTTTAACCGATAAATTATCTGAGTATACCTATGATTAATGACTTACATAATGTTAAATAATATTGAAATAAATATTTTTTTTAATGTTTAATAATTTTTCTGTATAATTTTCTTCTGACATACTTATGCTTTATATAATTATTAATTTTAAAATCAAACTAATAAATGATTTTTTCTGCAAAACTGTTAGAATGACTGAATTTTAATTAAAATGACAAACTATTTTTTCATTATTTATTAATTAATTGCAACAAAATTAACTACTTCTTAGAAATCAAAATTAACTTTTCTTAAATAAAACAGATACCTACCATGGCAATTTTTTCTTCAATTTAGAGTAATCAACAATGGCTTCTTGTTTATAAAGAATAAATACTAACCGATGATATCCAGTTCCTCGTGGAGGAAATGGCTGAAGATAATCACATATTACTTCACCAGACAAAATGTTATTACCTTTAATATTTCCTCTGAAAAATAATATAAATTTTAATGTTTACATAAAATATTAATCAGGTTAAAATATTTAAATTTAACAAACATTAAAAATTAAAAGTAAAAAAAACTTTTATTTTAATACTAATCAGAATAGAAGCTCCTGAAAGAGGCTAATCCATGACATCCCTTTGACATGTATCTTCTGTTGTTTTTTAGTTTTTCATGTCAATAAATTATTATTATTAATTTTCCTTTTATTAAAATATAATCATAATTTAAATTTTTTAAAGTTGCCTAATGCATAATTAACAAAATACATATTATCATATGTTATTTTCTATATTTTATTATTTTAAAAACTTAATCACTTGGCTGTATTCTGTAGGTTGAGTCAAATAAAGAGTTAATGAACTCCAGTTTAGATCTAATTCAAAGTCAGATTATAAGTTAATTGTCTTTCATATTCAGATAAACATATAATTCTAAGGTTTTGCTACACTAGAGTTAATGTTTTAAAACAATCCTGCATCCAAGATTAAATAATTATTCCTTTGTAAGTGGCATCTTGATTGTTTTAAAGCAAGCACATATATATAGAAAACGGTAGAAATACAAATTGAAATCAATGGATATTGTAATTTGAACAATTTTGAAAAGGTAGTATTAATGAAATTGTTATAAGATCAATACTAGAAAATAAAAAGATAAATATTAATTCTTCCAAATTGATAAGAGATACCTGCCTGAGAAGTATTATGTAAAGAATATAAGGATACTCAAAGCATCATTCCAAGGAAAAAGTAAACAATTGTGGATTATTATAAAAATCTTTAAAAAAAATGCAAGGAGAAAGATCAAGGTCAATAGAATTGAACAGAATGGAAAAAAATTACTTTCTATGAGAGTCGTAAGACAGCCCTTAAAAAATAATTGTAATAGTTACATTTACTCAACATAAAACAAGTAACTACTAAAGTACAATAACAATAACAATTTATATTATTACTAGTAGCCTGGGATGCCCCCTAGTGGGAATTCTTTACAAATTTCCATGAGGCACGGTTCCTTTGACTTTTTTGTTCCTATCAATATACTGTACAGCTCTGTTAAAGACCCAATGGTAAGATTTACCTTTCGAATGAAGAGGTGGCGACCCCCCCAAACTGTAGCCCCTGTGCGAACAATAAAGTCAAAGGAACCAGACCCCTATTCGCGACCCTTCGCGAGATATAAGCTCCTGAAATAATAAATTCCTATTACAAATATACTGAATTATTTATATTGTTATATTGACCAAATAATAATTTATGGGCCAAATGAATAATAATAATTTATATTGTTAATTTAAATAATAATTAAAATTGTTCATTTGAATGTTTGAAATATGACAGACGATAGGGGCGCCTCTAGTGTCCGTTATCATATGGTTACGGGACAGACGGACCATGGGTTATATATATATATAGAGTTGAATGGGTTATATATATAGATTATTATTATTGTTACTGCACAAAAAATCCAATGAGTTGCTTAACTTTACTGGCAACAACATTTAAAAACTGTGTATGGCACAATATAATGCTATTTTATTAAAAAAAACTTTTTATATTTTTAATTATTATAAAATGGCAAAAAGCTTAATTTTAAGGGTAGGAATGAGTTTTATAAAAAAAATTTTAAATGCTAATAAGTAAAATCTTCATTAAGATTAACCCCACTAGAATTGACACAACCTCCTATATCTCCTTACCCTTTAACCATTAACCATCAAAATTTAATAGCATCAATCCCCCAATACACAAACATCCCTGCAGAATTTCAGCAATTTTAGATAAAAGGCACAAGAGTTATTAAGCTTCAAAATGGATGAAAAAATTGTACTCCCAAACACACTAAAATCCATACATATAGGAAAAAAATCCTGAATTCTTTAAGGTTACCTGAGTCCAAAAATTTAAAAATCTTGGGAAGTCATTTTTTGACTGACTACCTACTTTCCCTTTGTTATATATAAAAGTACTTGGAAAGTGAAAATGTTTGATTTTATATTATTTGTATGTTTTAATAGCGGTGATAAATAAGAATATAATTGTGCAGTGTTGACTCCCGATTTAACTCTAAACATCAATCTTCTCAAGTAAGAATTAATGAATCCATTAGAGTTACTTAACTTGGCAAATGTCAATTTATTGCAAACTCTTCAATTTAACATTTACTTTAACTCTAACTCTGATTACAGAATAATGTAACTGCAATTTAAAAATTAGTTTATAACCTGATCCAAATTCCTTTTCAAATTGTCTTTTAAATACAGATAACCCATGGATTATACTTACAAAAATAAAATATTGTAAATGTATTTAGCAAATTACTATCTGTATATGTATCTAAAAGAAAAATTTTACACATATTAAGTAGTTTGTGTATTCTTCTTATAAGATTCCTTAACCTTACCCAATGATTTCATTACATAAGATTAAGAAAATAAAAGTAAAGTCGTGTAACTTTTTATAATTATAATATTTTTGTTTTGATGGAAAGTAAATAAACATGTTTCTACACTAAATCAGTTTTTACTTTGATCACAATAAGAATTAAAATATATTTATTAGTATCTTCAATTAAGAAAGCTTTTAAAGAAGCATGAACTACTTTATAATACTGCATCCTTTAAAATACATAAAATAATTTAATCTATAATTGTTATCAATTTACATTAATATAAAATGATAATTTCAAATTAATATGTTTATGAAGTTATTTTCACAATTCATTTATTTTAATTTAAAAAATTTAAATAAAAATGTAAAATTCTTGATCACACAAAGAAAAGATGACAACTGAGAAGTGCTTGAAGTGTGAAAGAGAAAAAAGAAATTTAGGATGTATGTCAGCATGTACTGTACTGTGATTGGTCTAAAATAGTGTTTCTCAACGGGGCGATATCGCCCCATGTGGGCGTTTTTCCATGTTGAGGGGGCGATTAGTAACAAATTATATTTTGGGGGGCAAAAAACAATTTTCTGGGTGATATAGTAAAATATTATATTAAGAATAATTAGATATTTTATTCATTACATCGTACAATAATTAATTAAACAAATAACATTATACTAGTGACTAGTCTATTCAATGCAGTACGAATTTGCTGTTAGCCTTGGCCCTCAGCATTGGAATTTTGAAGTGAAGGGGGCGATAGTACGTAACAGTTTTATTGAAGGGGGTGATACTACGTTGAAGGGGTGACAATTCGTTAGAGGTTGAGAAACACTGGTCTAAAATATGGACCTTACACTATTTTTATTAAGGATGCTCCTTAAAATTTTTTGTTCTTAAAGTAATTCCACTAACCATGTAACATCACAAAGTAAGGTTAAGAGACAACTTTTTGCACAGAACAAACTCTCTAATAAATAACTATTGTATGTTAATATTATAATTAAATGAAATAAATACTTACATAAACCAATGTAAATATTCTGAATTACTGTCAGTTAAATGACCATCAAGATTTGTCAATACAAGAGTCCACAAATCATTTGGAGTTGATTCAAATACTACTGAAGGAGCTTTTGATGCCTGTAAATTTATAAATAATATTTTAAATTTTGAATTTATGAAATATATAATTGAACATTCCATAACAATAATATAGCCAGTGACATTAAAATTTTTGTATATTAATTTAAGTTCTTTCCAACAAAAAATATATAAATTTAATATAAAATTTATAAAACTAAGTCTTACCTCTGATGGATTAATTATATTACCATAATATACAGGAGTTTGAAGATCATCATCATATTCAAATGCTATATTCATTACGACATGTGGAATAAAATAGCCATATTCAAATAAATCATTATAGATTCCATAATGTTCAGCCAGTTTCTTAATTTGACTGGGTCCTACACTCTTTTTCCATTCTTCTCTTACTTCATCAAGAGATATTTTCACTGTAAGTATGTAGAGTATAAACAAATTATAAAAAGTTACTTTTAAATTGTTAAAGTATTAATTAAAATAATTAAATAGAAACTGTAAGAAAATATGATTTTTCATTAATTAAAGTAATGCTCAATATATAAAGCTGCTTTAATTTTGTTTGTTTTTATTAGAAGTTGCAATACATAAATAAAATATTCAATATTTTTTTTATACTTGTATTTTTATACTAGTACAGACAACTGTATTTGTAACTAAACTATGAACTTGACAAAATTCTATTCTACTTAAGCTGAAATTAATATTGAAATAATAAAGATATTCTACAGAAATAAATTAAGAAACATTATAAGCTGTAACATATATAACCTAAAATATCAAATGTTACTAAACTATGAATAAAAACTAATAACTCAAAAATTTTTTACTGAAGTCAAGTCATTGTCTAATAATGATTAGAGAACTTCGGCAAATAATCAAAACTAAATTCTGCTCAAAGCAAGACTTAAATCTGAAATCTTCACAAGGCAATTTTTTTATATACTTCCTATTCTGTTTTTTACAGTAAATCTGTTTTTTTAAATGTAAATGTAAATTTTTTATATACTTCCTATACTGTTTTTTACGTTCATGAAAAATCCATATGAAAAAGATAGTCTGTATGAAAAGTGAAAGATCAGTTCCAAACCTTAAAAACCAGTAAAACTAATATGATAAACCATATAATAAAACATGTTTAAACAAAATATTACAATTCTAGTTAATAAATCAGAGGAGGAACATTTGCTATTTACTTATCAAAAAAATTTATATTATTTGCACAAATTTTATTTTTTATTCAATTTTTGCAATTAAACACCAAAATACTTCTAGCTTTTAATATTAAATGGCATACAAAAACTATTCTGTATTGAAAGGATTAAACTAGATTGGACTGAGGGAGTAAGAAAAAATACAACACAAGAGAAGGAAGTTCTAAGGAAGAAGTTCTTCCTCAGAAGACTTTCTATGGGAAACTTATCCTTTTTCAAGTGTTACACACACAAAGAATACCTGGAAAACTCTATGGAACTAACCCTATTGAAAAGATGAACCTGAGACCTATTATCAGTGTTCAGTGTTGTATTTATTTGGCCACTGCTGGGCCTCATATTCAGGGTTCCTACTCAAATTTTTGTTTTGAATTCCCTGACTTTCCCTGACCAACTTTGTCCAAATTCCCTGACCCTCACATTTTTTAGTGTGGAATATCGATATAATAAAACAACATTTACTGTGAACATTAATTACATCTAGCCCTCTTTTTGCACAGTTGATATGCTTCAAAGACTGTCACATTAAAAAAATACAGTACATACATCCTGTAGAAAAATGTTTGATAGAATCCACAACTTCAATGTAATGAAAAAATAAGCAATTTACAAACAAAACACAAGCTTTTTATTTTATCATCATTTATCATTATTATTTGTATGTAAATCTAGTAAATACAAGGTAAC